CAGTGGACTCTAAAAAGGAAATGCACTGTTTTCTTCCCTACCTGTAAACACTGTCCATGTAAGTTGGCTATTTTTTTGAGGTACCAGTTTGAGCTACCAATTCAAATGACCATCTTTACTTAGGTTTACAAAGGACAAACTTACACCTTGTAAACACTTCTAATCCAAATTTGTTATGATTTTTCCAAATAAAAATGAATTGTATTTGAAATTCTAAATTTCTATCATCCCCTGATATTGAATTCCTTAAAATGTTTAACTTCTGTGTAAAGAAGTTTTCTCACATTAATTTGCTTAAATTTATTTCTTTCAAACTTAAGAAGGTGTTTTTCTTGTTATGTTGAATGAGTCCATATTCTTAAGGCCCATGGCCTTCGATATTTTATAAATTACATTTATAAATGTAATTTAAATTGCCTATTTAAAGGTAATATTTTCCCAATTCCTAAGATTCTATTGAAAACGTTTGTTTTAATTCATATAACCTGTCTTAAAAATGTTTCTAATTACTTTGATATTATCATTTTTCTGGAAGTTTTCCAGCTTTGTTATTATTATTTTTTAACTGAATTCATTTTTTCTGATGTGGCTGTACTGTGGTTTTATACAAGAGCAAAATGATGTGCTTTGTTATGTTTCTAAAACCATTCCTGATGCTCTTCACTAATTTTTTGGTGGTGAGGATTATAAGTACGTCGTTGGCCAATGATTTAAGAAACAATCATCAATTCTGAGTTCTCCATTGTAGTAAAACATAACTGAGATCACTCTCTCTAAAATGCATTGATTCACCAAATACTCAAGACCCTGCTGTGTACAAGGCACCATTGAAGGACAGAGCTACTTGAAGAAACACTGAATAAGTGCAATAGAGAGAATTTTGGATAAATCATTTCCAAGTCCTGTAAATGTTTCCTTTATTCATTGAGTTTACACATTATAAAACAGCATCAAGTGTACATGTGTTCTTAAGTTCACCATCCTTGTCTGGGTCAAAAAACAAACCTGTTTTCTTATCTAACATTTTCTTCATCAATTGCTCACTACCCATGGTTGTTTCAATAAAACGACTCATATAATTTAGCTTAAAGGAAGGAGGAAGAGGAAGAGAAGGAGAAAGCTATGAAGGAGAAAAAGAAACCACTGGACAATTTAACCTAAAGGCTATTAATGGTTTTACTTATGGTTACTTTGATGAAAAGATTGCTATGGTAAAAGTAACTGCGTTACAGACTCATGTTACACGTACTGTCTGCTCAGTTCCGGAGAGCTGAACCACAAAGCCATTCTTACTTTGTGAGTAGTGTTTTTACTAACATGGAGGATTCGCCTCATCTGGGTGCAGTGTCCAGCGGAATGCAGCATTTGTACCAGCAGCGACAAGCCCTTTTCCCAGAGGGTTTCCAGCAGCGATCTGAAGGTCAAGGAAATATAAGTCCTAGTAAGCCAACAATCTATTACAAAGGGAATAACAAGCAAATATTTGCCTAATCCAATGAAATAACTCTCCAATGTTATTTTTATATTTGTCAAATTTTTAAGCCAGAATAAAAATAAACAAATAGCTAAAAGAAATACAATTCAACCCAATAAAACAAATAGTGTATCTCCTACTTATTTTTCAAGATTTCACTTTTCAATTGTGCACGTTCTATAAATAATGTAAATTTTACTAATAGGTTCCAAACTGTAGACTCAAAATGCAAAATGAAAAATTTGGGTAAGACCTCCAAAAGAGAAATAACATAAATACTTTCATTAAGTATGTATTTCTACGCCTCAAAGGCCAGATATATAGAGATGTCTTAGAATAGCAAATTAGTTTCCCACAAAAGAAATGAGTCCTGGAGTTTTAAAAGGGACAGAGTTTTCAAAGTCAGCACTGAAATAATTTGAACTACATCAGGAGAAGAGAAAGGATACATAGAAAGGAGAGAAACAGAGGAAGCAAAAAGAAGAATAAATTATTATCTGCTTATTGTGGGACAGTTAATGGTGTGAAGGAGTTCATGTTCACGAGATTCTCCCAGTGAACCCCTCGGGTCAGGGTTCTTACCATTTAACATTAGAAAACAGAAGCTCAGAGAAGATTGTCACAGCAGCAGTCCAAAGAGCCAGAGCTTGGCTCTGTGGGCATCTCTTACTCTGCTTGTTCTTTTACTTAAACAAACAAAAAAGAAGTAGAAAGTATTCACTCTTTTAATTTTTTGTGCCTTTTTACTTTTAAATAATTTCAAGCACCCCTAGGATTTGTGATGATGGAAGGGTATTTCACTTCGGATGTTGAACACACATTACAATATACAGACGATGTATCACAGAATTGTATGCCTGAAACCTGTACGATTTTAATAACCAATGTCACTCCAATAAATGCAATCTTTTTTAAAAAAGAGAAAAAATCTTTTCCAGAAAGAAGGAAAAGAATAGGATAAGAGAGATATACATAAACAAATGTGATAAAATATGAACAGTTGGAGAGTCTGGGGAAGGATATATCAGTTACTTGTAGTAATCAGGCCAATGTTTTGAAATTATTTCAAATTTAAAAGCTACAGAATTTAAAAGAGTGTGTATTTTTACATACCATTTTTTTCTTAATCAGAATTATTAGAAAGTAAGTTTGAAGATATGAATGCCATGTTACCTTAAAATACTTCAATGTAAATTTCTGGGAAAGAACAAGAATATTATCTTTCATAACCACAGTATAGTTGTCAAAAGCAGAGCACTGATCTTGCTATAATACTATCATCATATCTACAGACTGTACTCATATTTCACCAATTGTCTCAACAACACCCAGGAGCAGAGCCCAGAGGTATCGTAATCCAGGGTCCTGTAATCCAGGACCACATGCTTCATTCAGCCGCCACCTCTCTTTACTCTCCTTTGATCTGGAACAGTTCTTCCCTCTCTATCTTTCACAACTTCCTCATGAAAAGCCCATTACTTTGTACAATATCTCTCAATTTTGGTTTTGTCTAATATTGCCTCATGATTAGAAGCAGACCGTGCAATTTTGGTTAGAATTCCACAGGAGTGATGCTGCCTGTGTCTTTCTCCGCATCAGAAAGCACGTGATGTCGGTTTGTCTCATGCTGATGGTGCTAAGTAGTGACTTTCCTAGGTGGTCTTTACCAGATTTCTCCACCGTGATTTGGTACTTCGCTCTTGTTAACTAATGTGTAAATTGTAAGGAGATAGTTGGAGACTGTGTAGATACCCTGCTCCACATCGAACTGTCACACAATACTTACCATCCACTTATAAGGTGTCCAAAATTTGACCAGTGAGGCCCTTTCAAGTTTGTTCTATATCATTTTGACACATCTCTGTGATTTTTGAGCATTCGTTAACTTTTGTTATGACATCTCAGGCTACTTTTATCATTTCCCTGGTCCAGCTCTTGCTTCTTTTCCAACAATCCTTGGTTCCTTTTAGTAAAGATTTTATTTTAGAAGCCAAGATTTGGCTACTAAGTGTACCCACTGCTGCTGGAGTCTATGCCCTCAGAACACAGAACTGGGAGCTGTATGTGTGTGTTTTTATGTACACATACCCAGATAAGTAGGTAGGTAGGCAGAAAGAACAAGCCGTGAACTCATATTGATACTTCCAATCCCAATCCAAAATAAGCAGCTTCACGCCAATCTTCTCCCAGGGCATAGCTGTACTCTAATCAACAATAGTACGAAACTAGACTTCTTTTACCCTTAATGTACACAGTTATGAGCATGCCGCACACATCAGGCACAGAGTGCTCACCGCAGCACTGCGAAAAACAGTACTACTGACTAGAGTTCAATATCTGGGTGCACTTCTTCAGGGCATTAATCTAAGGTTAAGTTTTCAGACTATTGTACTCAAAAGTGACTTGGGCTCATTGTCCCCCACCTTCAATGTGTTCAATGTGGTTGTATTTTTCATCAGAAATATTTAGTTTCACTTGCTTCTAGTTCTATTCCACTTTAAGTCCCCTCCTTCTCACCGGCTTTACGTCACTTTGTGGGTTTAGTTTGTGTGTGTAAAAATATTATCATCATTACAAAAATCAAGCTGTACAACCATTATACTTGGAGGTGAATCGCCCTCCCTCACTCCCAATTCCTCACTTCTGTCCATTCCTAACAGATAGCCAATCTTACCGGCTTCTTAGCTTTTCCTTCCTGTGTTTCTTTTTGACACAACCAAAACACTGGTGTAATTGCTGTCTCTTGACCAGTTGATGCATCCTCTAAACTAAGCTGATTACTCTTACTTCATAAAATGTTCATTCTAGGGGTAGCCTTAACTGATGGTCTGTTGCAAACATCTAATTTTTGAAGATTGCAATATCACTTTTGGTAAGCATCCCCTAGTAAAGGGTAGGCGGTCAATACATTATTGTTGACTAATAGCTCATTGTTTTGAATGGCACGTGGAAGAAAAGCAAAATGACCAATATAGTAGAACAAACAAGGACTAGAAAAAATACAATAAAGCAGAAGTCATTAATAGCAGCAAAGACTGTATTCAAACTCCTCTGGGATTTTTTTGCCAAAAATATAATAATAAGGAACAGTAGAAATTTTAATACATAAGACATTTCAAGGTGCTAAAAGGGGAGAAGAAAGCAGTTGTTTGGTAAATTTAAGAGGAAAAATATACCATGCCAAAAGTTGTTGAAACTGAAACAGATAGCTATTACAGTTACCTCAAGAAAAAGTTTTTATTCCTATTAAACTAATTTTTCTTTCAGAAAATGGCAAGAGTAGATATCAGTCCATACTGAAAAGATAAATATTTTTTTCACAAATATCATACAATAGTTGACAAAGATTGCATTTACCGTAGGACTTGAAGCTATTTTTTTTTAAGGTTAGTTGTCTGTTTTTGCCTTACTGTTAATGAATAGGATTTGTTAATTCTCTTATGTCAATCCTATTACTTGTTCAGAGCTATTTCTGCAAAGGTCATCAATATCCAGGGATCTTAAATCTGAGCTTAAACCTGTCCAAGTTCAACAGGAGCTCTGAATGCAGGAATTCTTATCCGCTGAACATAATCAAGGACACCGGGCACAGAGAACCAAATTGTGAGTCGCAGTTATTCTTGATAATATAATTTTTAAAATTTTACCTTCAGGGAAAGAAGTATGATCTCACTGTTTATATATTAACGTGGGTTCTTTTGATACAGTGCAAGGTGACAGTAAGGAATAATTTACCATAAAAACAAATACTGTGCATCTCTCTCCCTTAAAGTGATTTGCACGAGATATCTTCACTAATGTAAACTCAGAGAAAACACACAATTTTGAGTGTAATAATTCTAGAAATGTGTTGTCAAATAAAACTATGAATAGAGAATTACTTTTGAAATTTAAAATTCTTCAGTCCTCCCTCTGAGCGAAAGGAGAACTGAAGGAAAGAGGTAGTGATTCCCTGCACTTTGTACTTGAAGACCTGACTTCCAGACTGTAAAAGGGAGGATTAGTGTCTCAGCACTGAAACGCTCTGAGACCCCTGCACCAAACACCCAGTCGTGTGTTCTTGGGCTTTTTTCCTGAATATTATATGTTTGGTTGTTTTTCCCTCTTAACCTTTAAAGTGGGAATGATAACATTTGTTTCAGAAGGCTACTTCACAATTTAATGAAACGGAAATGACGTTTTTAAGAGAAAAAGACACAGGGTGCTAGGTTTTGCATACCACTCACTGTTCCTTTGGTCGTCGCTCTTGAATGCACTTCAGAAGCTGAACCTGTCAAACCGCGTTGAGAAAAGCGGCTCTGTTACGGTCTGTTAACTTCCACGATAGTGCAACGGTTTAAGATTTAGCTCTGAAAGTCAAACCCAGGTTCGAAACCTTGGTCCACCATTTACTATAAGATTTTGAACAAGTAACTTAAACTCTGCCCTTCAGCCCCCTCATTTGCAGGGCGGCATTAACAATTGTCCCAGCCACACGTGGATGTGTGACAATTAAAGGATTTCGACACAAAATAATTGGAACAATGCCTGGCACATAGTAAATGTTCATAGTAAGTAAGTACATAATTATTATTAATTAAACATTTCATTATATTAAATATTGAGATATAATTTTATGAACTTTGGTACAAACAGTAACTGATAAAATCAGTAAAAAATAATGTTTGCTAAGTACATAGACCTAAACTGAAGATATTTTAAGTAAAAGAAGATAAACTACGAATTATGTAAAATCCTTAGGCCCAAATATCTTTAATAACACAGATATTAATGTTCTTTTACCAGCAGAGAGAAACATACTAAACACTTTATCACTTGGTAATAATCCTTAGCATCCATGGAACCTGACAGTGAAAGAATATTTATTTATCTATTTATTTATTTCTCATTTGTCATTATTTGCTTGTTCATCTTATAGATTATACCAAATCTAATCTCTAAAATGGAAGAAGCCAAAAGCCAAAGTTTGGAAGAAGACTTTGATGGACAGGCCACACACACAGGTAAGCAAAGCTATAGGAAGAAAACTAATTATTAAATCAAAATTAAATCTGGAGATCTCTACTCTTCTTACTGCCACTATTCAATATGAAATTTTTTATAGCTTTGAGTGGTCCGATGAAATCATCTAAAAATAACTGAGTGGGTAATTAACTTGAGATCAAATACTTTTAAAACCATTTTATTTAGATGTTAAGTAATGAGAAATTTAATTAAAAACACTACTTATGGAGAATTTCTTGCCACCCAGCTTTCGTAAGACTTCTCCATATGCACTAAAATCAAGCCACTATCCTCTGTCTTAATTTCCCACAGTATAAACTTTCTTTGCAATTGCAAGCAACAACATTAAAATTATATAAATAACAATTATTAGGAAATATGTACAGAAAGAAAAATACATCCACATATATAATACAATATTAAAGGTATGGATACGGCTAAGCTTTAGTGAAGAATATGTAAAGTTGCATGTTTTCAAGAATTTAGACCTTCTTCCAAAGCACTGCTACTATTTATCAGGGCAACTGAATATCAGAATTCCATTCAGAGCATCCTTGATTTAAATCTGCAAATCCTTTCCTTTCTGTATTTATAAAAGATTCTCAAAATCCTAAAAAGAATTGGGTGGTTATGTAATGATTTTTTGAAGGTCATTTTAGCTTTGTTAGTTGAGGTTAGGCCTCTCTCACTGGTTTTCTTTTATGTGCCATTGTTATGGTTGTTTTCTGGATCTTGATTACATTTTCATTTGTTTATCCGGCAATCCTAGTTTCCTTTGTTACTGGCGCTGCACCAGTTTCAGTTTATTGCTGAAGCTTCTGTCTTATGTAACAAGTGGTATTTTTCTAAAACTCTAGTTTCCTCTCTACACTCCAACTTAAAATATCTTTACCCCCAAATTTTGAGAATAGTTCAAAGTCCATAATCCATATTTTCATCAATGCAGACGTTTCAGAAAGATTCTTAGCCAAAACCCATTTACCAAGACGAATGTGGGAAAACATTTTTGTTTTCTGACTTATGGCAGTCAGAAATTTCTAGCCCAAACAAGATGCTTATTTCTGAAACAGAACACAAGTCTATTCCCATGGTGATACTTATATACAAATTTCAGTTGTATAAAGGCCTTTAGAAAATAAAGAGAAACAACTTGTTTTTAATTTTATTCCAGGACCAAAAGGAGTAATACATGATTGGAGGAAGTTTAAATTAGAGAGCGAAGATGGTGACTCAGTCCCACCCAGCAAGAAGGAAATTCTCAGACAAATGTCTTCTCCTCAGAGTAGGGATGACAAAGACTCAAAAGAAAGATTCGGCAGAAAGGTAAGCTAAAGAAAAATCAATAATAAATACTTTACAAAGTGTAAACATGAATCACATTTTTTCCAAATCACATTTTTAAAGATTTTTTTGGTTTATTTATTTTTAGACAGAGGGGAAGGGAAAGACAAACAGAGGGAGAGAAACATCAGTGTGTGGTTGCCTCTCACATGCCCCCTACTGGGGACCTGGCCCACAACCCAGGCATGTGCCCTGACTGGGAATCAAACCTGTGACCCTTTGGTTCGCAGCTCACACTCAATCCACTGAGCCACACCTGCCAGGGCTGAAATCACACTTTTCACAGCACCATCTTTTTAATCTCACTTATTTACTTGTTATATAATGTGTACATCCATGTGCATAAAGAGATACATTAGCAGATGATCTGTATGATAAGAATGGAGATTATCCCAGAGTATCAGAGTGGTGAAATTACTTTCTTCCTTTAGCTTTTAGGTCATTTTTAAATCTTTATAATCAGCATGATGAATTTATATGACAATAAAAATATAGCCCTGGCTGGCATAGCTCAGTGGACTGAGCACAGGCTGCGAACCGAAGTGTTGCAGATTCGATTCCCAGTCAGGGTACATGCCTGGGTTGCAGGCCATGACCCCCAGCAACCGCACATTGATGTTTCTCTCTCTCTCTTTCTCCCTCCCTTCCTTCTCTAAAAATAAATAAATAAAGTCTTTTAAAAAATGTTTTAAAAATATTAATGAAGGAAGCCATAAAGTGATTTTCACTGTGGGGGGAAAAATCACTTTACTGGATTATCTCCAAACCAGGCTATATGAGTTGTGTATTGATTCTCAACAAACAGACAGGGCTTCAGAAATAGACTTGCTTCTAGGCTCTGGTCATTGTAAACATTTTCAAGTCACAGATCTTATTTTCAGATCGGGTTCCTTCACTGAGTCATATGATGCAGATGAGACAATTACATTTTTTCCATCTTAAGAATTGTAACAGCACCTCCTCCACTTGCTTTAAAGCCATGTGAAGAGAAAATAAATGTAAAAGTGTTTGAAACATGTAAAATGCTACACAAACATGAGACCTTATAATTATTTTTTAAGGATTTTATTTATTTATTTTCAGAGAGGGAAGGGAGGGAGAGAGAGAGAGAGAGAGTCATCAATTTGCGGTTGCTGGGGCTCATGGCCTACAACCCAGGCATGTACCCTGACTGGGCATCGAACCTGCGACACTTTGGTTCGCAGCCCGCACTCAATCCACTGAGCTACGCCAGCCAGGGCGAGACCTTATAATTATTAAAGATGGACTAAGCTTTAGACATATATGTAAGTGTCCACATATCTATCTATTTGCCCGAATATGTGAATAGAACAAGTTCTTATAAAAAAGCTCAAATGCATGAGTCAATATTTGTGTGGCTTAGCCTATTCAATTAGCAGAATTATAGTAGAAACTTAAAAATTATACAACATATCTAACAATTTTTAAGGTTAAAACAAATTAAACCAGGACAATAATCTTAAAGCAGAAAAAAATATGATAAGACAAGGACGAGGACATTAGAAACTCAAATATAAGAGAAACAGGAGAAGGATATGTGAGAGCATCAGGTGCTTTTACGAGCCTGAATCTCAGTATCTTCTGTAAAGTTCTGTAACAGTGCCTGCTGCATAGATGTGTTATGAGGATTAAGCAAAATAATCTATGTCAACTGCCTAAGACATAAAGTTTTCATAAATACCACTTCCGTGCCTTCTCAGTCACGTACTTTAAGTATTGTCAGCAATGGCTGTTGGAGAGGCTGCTTGACGATAAGGCTGATGGGTCCCCCTCGGAAACTGGCCTCCTTCCTTGACGCTGGGCTGCTCCCCATCTCTTAATCACACCACATCCCATCATTGCTTTTTCTACCCTTTCTTTTCTCTCTCTCTCTTTTTTAATGTGTTGGGGGTGGAGTTTAACATTCTATTGAACAAGCTGGTCATAATGTAGCTGTTAAGAAAGGTTCTGCAAATAATTTATATTCTAGCTGCAGTGATACGTAGCTGTCTTGGAAGAAGAAAGTTAAGCTCCTTCTCACTTTTGCCTAAGACACTGGGTAGGAATTGCCTGCAGGGCTTGGGTAAACACAGCTCACTCGGCCCCACCCCGGCGGGTTGTGATTTGACAGAGCTGGCGCGGTGCCCCAAAACGCGCATTTCCCAGAACTTCTCAGGTGATGGCGATACTGTCGGTACAGCACAAATCTCCTGGCTAATCTGACGAACCCTAAACAGTAGTAAAAGCTGCCTTGGCTCACTCCTATTCTACATATCTCAAGAATCAGGAAGGGATGAGATAAAATCTTTCTAACAACTTGTGTGTGTGGAGGAGAGGCTAATGTCCAAAAGCATCTGTTGAGGATACATTTAAATCGAGTGCATGTGCCTGTGTGGGTGTTTATGAAAGTCGCTTATAAAGTAGGCCTTGTGGGACCTGTGTTTTTCTACCCACAGCGATCGGAGGTTAAGTGACACAGTTCTGACTGAGATTGTGATTGTCTCCTGGCTCAACTGTATTCAGCAGTACTCATGCATGTGTTTGTATCACGAAGTAATTACTGAACCCTGTCATGTGCCAGACACTATGGCAGACATTGAAGAGTAGTGACTGAGACAAATAAAATCCCTGCTCCCATGGAACATACCGGTTAGAAAACTAATATTATGCAATTGACTTAATTTATCATACAATAGCAGGGAGTGTTTATTGGTACAAAGAAAAACTAAAATCGTATGAGGAATAGAAAGCTCAGAGCTGGGACTCTTTTAAGTAGAGTAATCAAAGGAGGTGACATTGGAACCAAAGCCCGAGTGAGGTCAAGGGGAGACCACATCGAGGAAGGACGGCACATGCAAACGCTTCGAGCTGAGGAAGGGGTTGGTGTGTCTAAAAATTAAGTCTCCGGCTGAATGACCTCTGTCATTCTTTCATTTATTCTCAGATGAGCATTCAAGAGTATGAGCTAATCCACCAAGGCAAAGAGGATGAAGACTGCCTTCGTAAGTACCGCAGGCAGTGTATGCAGGACATGCACCAGAAGCTGAGTTTCGGGCCCAGGTACGGGTTCGTGTATGAGCTGCAGACCGGGGAGCAATTCCTGGAAACCATTGAAAAGGAGCAGAAAAGCACCACCATCGTGGTTCACATCTATGAAGACGGCGTTAAAGGCTGCGATGCTCTGAACGGTAGCCTCACGTGCCTTGCGGCCGAATACCCTATGGTCAAGTTTTGTAAAATGAAAGCTTCTAATACGGGAGCTGGTGACCGCTTTTCCGCGGATGTGCTCCCCACGCTGCTTGTCTACAAAGGTGGGGAACTCATAAGCAATTTTATTAGTGTGGCTGAGCAGTTCTCCGAAGACTTTTTTGCTGGGGATGTGGAGTCTTTCCTGAATGAGTATGGGTTACTACCCGAAAGAGAGATGCCCGCCCTGGAGCAGACCAACGTGGAGGAAGATATTGAGTAAAGGTTCGCCACCTCAGTATCTCAGATTTCTCCTTCACATACTGAATGCTGATTGACTTGGTAGTATCCATGTTCCTTTGGAGAATATCAAATATGGACATGGCTATTCTCACGCGGAAACAAGACCAGATTGATGCTGAAGTTACACGATTAGCATTGTTCAGTTCTCGCTACTCAAATTTCTACAAGGCTTTATTCCAAAACACTGTAGTCTTCAGGAACATGTTAGTAAACAATGAGAATGTGGGTTGTATTGTGACAGTTTTCAAAAATCCCTTTCATGTTATGTGTTAGCTTTTTTTACTCCTTGTTTTTTTTTCTGCAGTGTTATTATTTGGACTTTTCAAAGTACATCATTAATTATCATTTTGCCTACATAATAAGAATAAAGTCTCATGAGGAAATAAATATTCTATTTGAAATCTATTCTTTCTCAAGCATTACAACATCAAGGCCCTAAAGATATTATATAACCTAAAATACGAAAAGAATAATTCAGAAAGATATCTTATATTCCAACCAAACTAAAGCACAAGAAACTTAGAAACATTGTACTGCATTAAGTACTGCATTGTACTGCAAAAAGAAAGTATTTGTTAAAAATAAAATTTCAGAAGTTAAACTTATCTGTGAAAGAAGGCCATGTAGAAGCAAGGACTTCTTATTTTTTGGACAAAAGAATAAAATTTACTAGTGGTTATAATTATAACTACCACCTATTGATTGCCAAATATGAGCTAGTAATTTATACATATCATGTCTAATTCTTAAATACAGTCCTGCAAGGAGATAATATTACTCTCACTTTGTAAATGATGAAACAGAAATTCATAAAAGTTCTAATTCCTTTGAAAACACTTCAAAACCTCCGCTCCTACACAAACACATGAAAACACAAAATAAGGCTTGAAAAGTGTTTTGAAGTATGCAAATGGGCTGAAGAGCTAGAGAAAAGAAACGTCTGGGTGTCTGAATCAGAGTGGAAAAGAAGGGTGAGTGAGAGCTAAGGCCACACAGCCTGTAAAGGAAGAATCCATGCTGTTGGATAAGTAACCAAAGATGGACTCCCTAAGAGAAGTGAGCTCTGTACATTTTCCCTGGTGGACCAATGCTGACACCAAATATTGCTCACAAGTTTCAGTCTCTGCTCTTCTAAATCACTATTGTGTGGCTTCTCCCTCTTTCCTTAACCCTTTTCTATCCTTCTTCCCTGGTCTAAACACTTTTCTTTGCTCTTACTTCATTGAGAAAGGAGATGCTATCAGATGAATCCTACATCAACTCTCCATCACCCAATGGAAACCTGCACTGGCATGTAAATACTGTTACCACCGACGCTACCGTGCAAGTGTTCTCACAGTGGCCAAGGCCAACCGAGTAAATTAGGCTTTGGATCCTATCAGTCACGCAGTGATTTTTCTCCTGCAATTAAATTATTTCCCCTCTCTCGGCACCATCTGTTTCTTTGTTGTATTATTTGTATTGGCTTATCAATGGGTTTTTAATTACCCACTATTTAAAAGATGCCCACCAATAATTTTCAATTTCCAGCTATCCCTCACTTTTCTGCTTTACTTTGCAGTCACATAACCCGAAAGAAGTATCTAAAGTACTGTCTTCATTCTTCATTTCCAATGTTTCCATCCCACATCAATCAGGCCTTCTTATTGACCAGTCGCTGACACACAGTTGCTGCAATAGGTACTATTTCTGTGCATGAATATAAAATTCAGTCTTCTATTCTTCTTTATAATTGAGAAAGGCATTTTAAATACTCTATGGCCTATTTATAAGTTGATGAATACCAAACACAAGGTGGAAAAGTTCTAAGAGGGAGGCATGAAAGATAATTATGTATAAATTAAGGAGCTTGAAAACAACCCCCCCAAAAAAACATGATTTCTCCAATCAAGTAATTGCTAACAAATTTATTAATCCTTTACAGAGTCTTCCGTTAGGGAATTACTGGGCTTAAAAATAAAACAGAGCAAAAAAAAAAACCAGGAGCCTTATACAAGATATTTATAATTTAAAAACTCCTTAATAGAACAATTCTTTAGATTATCATTAATTCCCTGGACCAGTAGGAAATACTTAAAAAGATGATGGCAAGGCAGTTCAGGAGGACAGTCAAATGGGAATCTCAAAAGAGAACAATATTTTAAGAATAAAACATAAGATCTTTTCAATCACTAATCATTATTAACCACAATGTAGTACAGCTTTGTAGGTCAAAGACATAGCTAGCTAAACAGAGAACAAAGGCTCTCGCCTATGGACAAGAATAAAAATGAGTGCTTTGAAAGGTTCTTGTTCAATGAAAGCTTTACTCTCGTAAGAAATAACCCACTGTACATTAATTTAAAATAGAGAGCTAGCAAGCTTCAGCAGGACTAAACCCAGAAATGTATTTAACCCGTAATTGTCAAAACAAAAGTAACTAGGTGGCACCTTTGTAGGGAGTAAGTGATGATAGCAACCGCACTCAAAATAAGCACTTGGTGACTAATGGATGCCAGAGTGATGCTTTGACGGTAACACTCATCAGCAAGAGTCGGACAAAGGCAGGATTTGACGAGAATATTTGAAATCCACTGCCTCAGAAATCCTGGGTTACAAACTGTCCTCATTGTAAACACTCCATCTGCTATTAGGCAAGAAGAGATGAAGAGCTCATTTTTGTCTCAGCAGAAGAATGACATCTTAAATGTAAAAGTTTAAAGAGTCATAACATGCCTCATAACAAATAATACTGGAATAGACTTGAAAGAAAAGCCAAGAGTGTTAGTTGTAAAATAATACAAAAATAGTAGAAAAATCCATAGGGAATAACAAAATTATCTTGGAAAGTGCGAAGCTCATTCCTTCATTTGTTCATGAAACATTTATTGACGAGTTGCAATGTGCTATGCAGAGTCTTTGACCTTAGGGAGCACAAGGTAAAGAAAACAGACCCTCAAACAAGCACTAGGTTTAAATGCACCTACATTTGCATCTATAGGTTAGCAGTGGTAACTGGTATCTTGAGCACAATGCAAGACTTCCTAGGATTGAATCCACCCACTAATTTTGTGATCTTAGGCCCATTAGTTAACCTCTCTGTACCTGTTTCTTCATCTGTAAAGTAATAATAATAAGTGCTCATCCTCACTGGGTTGTTATGTGAAAAAGAAAACATGTAAACAACTTGTAATAGTGCCTGTCACAAAATTAGTCTTACGCAAATATTATTATTAGTATTACTAATAGATATATATGAAGCAAAAGGATGCATAGAGTACATAGATATAAGATCTTAAAGATACAATTATGTAACTAAAGGCAATTTAAGAAGGGATGTAATCATCTAAAACACAACTCTCACATTCCTTTACTTAGGACCTTATTAAAATTCTGTATCTTTAAATTGAAAGATACTAAAAAACTGCCATTCCAAAGTAACCACAATAAATATAAATGAAATTAGTTCTGAAAACAGCAGTGCAAAATAAACATTAATATACAAATAAGAAATTTGTAGAATTTTGAATTTAATACTGAATTTCTTGCAGAATACAATTGTGATCATATAATTAGCTGTTCAAATATATCTAGTAAACTGTTATGTGATGATGAAAATTTTGTTTATTTTTCTCTGTTCTATTTTTCAAACGTTCTTCAAAAGTTTGAATGTTCAATATACACAGGAATTATGTTAGGTAATAAAGGGCGAATGATAAAAATAGGTAAGATACAGTCATTCCTTCTTCTCAAGGGATTCACAATCTAGGAAGGGAACACACACGTCCTTGAAATGAAAAGAAATGGGGACTTATTTTTGTTTATTAATTATTGCTTGAAGGCTTATGTTCTGGAACTCAGTTGATAATGGATTTCAGGAAAGAAATTGTCATCCTCTCATGCCCCTCTGATTAGTAAACATATTCTGTCATTATATATTCAGCTCTTACTTTCACCACCACATTCCTGTTTGAAATCTTCAAATTTAATGCACCATTCTTTGACAATAGCCATCTACCCTTCAACACTCTCAACCCTTTACTCCCAGTACACAGTCTTTAAGTCCTGCCATTTCTCCACCTCCCCTTTTTAATACTTTCTGCACTTGCTCAGTTTCTGTCTTTCCTGTGCAGCCTAGATACTTGGTGGGTCATGTCACTCACTTTCCTGCTAGCATAGTCCATATTCTTGTCACCTTATTCTTCCAAACCACTTCTCTCTTAAATTTCCAGCTTTCTGAGCGTTTCGACTAGAGTATGTAGCTTGTTCAGCAAACAATTCCCTCTTTCATTGCCCTCAGTCACTGTTTCAAACCCTCATTATTCCCCTTCTCTCCCATATCCTTCCCCTCTGAACACAGGGCCTTGCCTTCAATGTCTCAGGAAAAACTGAGCCCACACAGCATGAGGTTCCCTATTTACCCCACGTGTATTAACCCACCAATCCTCTAGTTCATTGTTCTTGTACACGATGTCTCTTTGAACAAGGCTAATTCTGCCATCTGTGCTTTTAAATAGATTATATCACGTTCACATTTCACGTTTTTTAATTATATCATATAATTGTATCTTCTTATTCTGCATCAGCTTCTTACTCACAACCTAAAAACAAGTCTCTGGTTCTTCAGAATTTTTACTAGTTATGACGTTCTCTAGCATTTCCCTTTCCTTTATTGACTTACTATTTTCTAAAAATCCATGTCTGTAATCTTTTCTTCCTTTTTTCCCATTTGCTTCTTCACCCATCTTCCTCAACCATTCCACTGAAAGTGATTCTGATAACAACCAACAATGGCCTCTGTTGGGCAGGTTTCTGGCAAGAAACAGAGTGCAAACAGAGAAGGTATGATTGGAGGGAGTTTAATAAAGAGGCTATTTACAAGGGTGCAGGTAGGAAAACAATAAGACGTGGTGAGGACCACAAGGCCAGCAGCAGGTGAAAAGGACTACTACCCCACAGGCCTTGAGGGGCAAGACCAGTGAGATGTGTAGCTACGGGAAAAGAGCTGACCGACAGGAGCTCCAGTGTTTTGGAGAGAACACTGTCCCTGCCATACTGTGGCCCAGCAGGGAGAGAGATGGGAAAATAAATAATGGGATCTCTCTCTCCTCCTGTTCTCTTCTTTCTCTTCAATGCCTGCAATTGTCCAAAACCAAGTGGACCACATCGTGGGAATATCAGAAAGAGAAGAGAGTGAGCAAGGGATTGAGAACCTATTTGAAGAAATAATGATCAAAAATTTCAATGATATGGCAAAGGAAAAAGACTCACAAGTCCAGGAAGCTCAGAGAGTCACAAACAAGTTGGACCCAAAGAGACCTACACCAAGACACATCGCAATTAAAATGACAGGCTTAAAGACAAGGAGAGAATCCTAAAAGCTGCAAGAGAAAAGTGATAGTTACCTACAATTAAATTGTCATCTGAGTTCTCAAGAGAAACATTGCAGGCCAGAAGGAAGTGTCATGAAATATTCAAAGTGATGAAAAGCAAGGACCTGCAACCAAGGCTACTTTACCCAGCAAGGCTATCATTTAAAACTGAAGGAGAAATAAGGAGCTTCCCAGACAAGAAAAAGCTAAGTGAGTTTGTTAACACCAAACCAGTACTGTAACAAATGTTAAAGGACTTGCTTTAAGAAGAAGAAGAAGAAGAGGGAAAAAAAACAGAGGAAAATAGTCTAACAATAAAATGCTACTAAATACCTATCAATAATCACCTGAAAGGTAAATGGCTTAAATGCTTCAACTAAAAGATGAAGGGTAGCTGAATGGATAAGAATACAAGACCCATATACAAGCTGTCTCCAAAAGACCCATCTCAGAAAGATACACACAGACTAAAGGGATGGAAAAAGATTTGTCATGCAAGTGGGAAGGAAAAACAAAGCTGGGGCAGCAATACTTACATGCAACAAAATAGACTTCAAAACCAAGTCTATAGTAAGAGACAAAGAAGAACACATAATTACAAAGGGAACAATCCAACAAGAGGACACAACCCTAGTAAACATTTATGCACCCAAAATAGGAACACCTAAATACATAAAACAAATCTTGATGAACGCAAAGGGAGAGATTGACAGAAATACAGTCATAGTCGGGGATTTTATTACCCTATTGACTTCAATGGATAGATCTTCCAGACAGAATATCAACAAGGAGACAGCAGCCTTAAACGACACATTAGATCAAATGGATTTGATTGATTGTTCAGAGCATTTCACCCCAAAGCAGCAGAATATACACACTTTTCAAGTGCACATGGAACGTTTTCTAAGCTAAACCGCATGCTAGGACACAAAATGAATCAAGAAGATTGAAATCATATCAAGCATCTTCTCTGACCACAATGCTATGAAACTAGAAATCAATCACAAAAAGAACACTGAAAAATACGAAGACATGGATGCCAGAGAGGATGCTGTTGGTGAAATGTGTTGAGTCAGCCTTCTTGGGACAAAGCAGGATAGAGGACACAGAGTGGATCTTCAGAGGCAAATGGAGGATATTCAATATAACTACTGTATCACCAAACCACTAGAACCTACTGTCATCATCTTACTTGATTCTGGGCTCCATTGAGTGCTGATGATCACTCTCAAATTGAAATCCTTTCCTCACTTGGTTTCCATGATACCACTATCCAGATTCTTCTATGCTTCTGAAACCATTGTTTCTCAGTTTTATCTTTTGGTCTTTTTTCTTGTCATATTGATGTTTTCTTGGATTAGCTTCCTGGCCCTTTGTATTCTGTTATTCACATGGATGGCTTCAGGTACCACCTATACCAAAGCTTCGGAACCTTGCTACTATTGATACTTTGGGATACATCCTGTGCATTGTAGGATGTTTAGCACTATCCATTGTCTGTATTCTGTAGATGCCAGTAGCACCCATATTCCAGTTGTGACAAATAAAACTACCTGACAATTTTCTCAAACACTGAACATTGCTGAGTGTTCTCTGGAAGGCCAAATCACTCCCCACCCTGGCAAGAGCCACTTACCTTTACCTATAAAACATACTCTTCTGTCTCCTGAGTTTCATGCTGATGAAAATTTAATCACCCATCATCCCTCAAGTGTACCACTATAATTATTTCCTAACTGGATGTAACAACTTCCAGTTTTCACACTGACACCAGAATGATCCATAAAAGGTTGTGGGTGGGTGAGAAAATCCCAAGGCAGTCAGGCCTTACAACTGAAGGTCCCTTGGAACATCAGTGAAACAAATAAAAGTAGAATTTAAAGACTCTTTTTTAATTTTTTAAGTATTTTTATTGGTTATGCCATTACAGTTTTCCTAATTTTTTTCCCCTTTATCCCCGCTCTGCCCTGCTCCCCAACCCTCCAGCATTCCCCCCCCCTTAGTTCATGTCCATGGGTTGTACATGTAAGTTCTTTGAGTCCTCTGTTTCCTATACCATTTTTTATCCCCCCCATCTATTTTGTGCCTATTAATTATGCTTCTCCTTCCCTGTACCTTTACCCTCTGTTCCTCCCTTCCCTCCCTCCCCACTGAAGTCCCTCCATGTGATGTCCATTTCTCTGATTCTGTTCCTGTTCTTGTTGTTTGCTTAATTTTTGTTCTCATTGTTTTTCTTTTCTTTTACACTCATTTGTTGATAGTTGTGACTTTGTTGTCATTTTATTGTTCATATTTTTATCTTCTTTTTTCTTGACATACACTCTGAAACATTTGGGGATACAGGCACTCTTCTTGATGACCTATGACATGCGGCTAAGAGGCTGTGTTCAGAAACATTGTACCTCCCATTACTAGAAAAATATATTCCTTCAAAAAAACATGAATTTAACAGCAACTTTTCTCTAGTCAATTTTCAAGAGTATGATCTCTAACTGAAAGTTTAAAATCTGAAAAGATTATAGAGGCTGCCATGGTATTCACATAAATTTAAAGATATGTAGGTTTTATGACAAAAGTTATTATTTTTACAGCAGTTACATTTGTTTCAACAACCCTAGTGCCTTTAGTAAGAAAACTTTTAAAAGTTATTTAAGAATAAATACGTTAGTCATGAGTTGTTTGTATATCCTGTTACAAAAACAAAACACCTCTCAAACAAATTAAATATTAAATTCCTGAAACATATTTGGAGCCCAAACACTATGCAAGTCCTGATTTCTCAAGAATTCACGTGAAGGCAGCACCCCCTGTACTGTGAAACAGCGGCTGTAGAAACTGCAAATGACATAGCCAACATTTTCATAGCGTTTTATAATATATATATATAATTTCACATACGTGATCTCATTGTATGCTCACAATTGCCTAATGAGGTATGCAGGACAATGCTTTTAACATGTCCAGTTCAAGGATGGAGAAAATTTTTCTCCAGCTTTATTGAGATATAACTGACAAATACAATTATAAGACATCCAAGTGTACCACATGATGATTTGATGGACACATACATTGTGAAAGGATTCCACCCTCTTCCCAGTTGGATGAATTAACACAGGAAATGAAGTAGTTGAAGTGTTTGTGGTTAGTTGACTCGTCCAGGTTTATACAGCTAGTAAGTAACATGAAGCGCGTTCGAACTTAACCTTGAGTCTCCCAATCCCAGTGCCCATGGTCTTCACGTTGTATCATACTCCCTTCCTAGCAGTCTCGAACACAAAGAATATGTTAATAACCCAATCTGGGCATCTTTTCTAAGATTAGAAGATCCTTCTTAGTATATTTCATGTCCATACATCAATTCTTTAAGGGAAAAATCATCACAAAGTTACCGGATAAAGTTTCATTAAATTTCATATCTCCAACAACTAATGCAGTGGTCGCGCGAGGCTCTGGCAGAGAGAACAAGGTTAAGTATAGAATGATCTCACTTTTCAATGATGGCATTTCCTTATTTGGGCAATAGCGTTTTAAAAAACTACATTGAATTTTATCTTTACTTGAAGCTCTTAGCTATAACTCGTATCAGTCTTTTTACCTTTCAGGTTTACTTTTGTTTTGGGTTTTGGTTGTTTTTTCATTTTTTAATTTTTTGCCATAGTGTACAAGACAAGTCTACTAAAACTTAGTTTTCATAAAACCAGGTGTTTCACCCCAGGCAATTTTATTTCTGAGTGTCCACTCCCCATTCCCAATCCCTGAAAACACATACTAGCTTGATTTATTCATCTTATCTCAAAAACAATAATTCATTTTTAAAGGTTGACATTTATTCATTGCTGACAACACATAATTATCTCCCATACAGAGTTCCTGTTCTAACAAATTAATGCACTTTCTACAGGCAACACTAATCATGTGAGACTGAACTTGCTAGGTAATGAATTATGAGATTCATGTAATAAATTATGTAAGTCTCACAGAAGTTCAGAAGTATAAAGCTATGTCTGTATATTGTTATATTTACCTTTTATTGGCAATCAATACAGATGCCATTTTTGCCTAGAATTTTTTCTGCTTTAAGTATCTAAGGATAAAAAGGACTTTTAATTTTAGTTTGTTTTTGCTTTTGTTTTGGCGGGTGACTGGGGAGAACTTTCAAACCTCCATTTGACTTATTCTGGGGTCAATCATCAGTGAACTGCTCTCCAGTTGAAACAGAAGTGATTTAACTGCTCTTCTCAGCTCCACAGTGGAAATTTAAAGTATAAGTAGCTCTAAATATAACAATAATAACAAGAAACCTAAGGGATATAAGCTCACTAGTAAAAAGAGACATATTGTCAAATTAGACTTTTTAAAAAACCAGTTACTTGCTGTTTAAGAGAGATACATTTAGAGCATAAAGTTACAGAGAAGTTGGAAGTAAAGTGATGAAAATCTATAACAAGCTAATTATTTTTAATTTATTTTTTATTTTTAATTTTATTTAAATTGTTGAATTTTTATTTTATATTTATTTTTTAACAAGCTAATTATTTTTAAAGGCAAGATTCATTAAATTAATATCAGACAAATAAACTTAAAGAGAAAATAACATTATTAAGTACAGAAATTGTCATTAGATAATAAAATTTCACCAGCAAGATCTATCAGTTTTAAACTTCCATATGCCTAATAAAATGTCATAAAGTATATACAGTGCAAATTGGTAGAATAGAGGGAAAAGGTGACTATTCCATCATCAGGAATTTCAGTACAGTTCTTTCAATCCTTAATGGATTAAGCAACAAAAATTTAGCATCGATGTAGATATTAACCACATAATTAACAAGCTTGGTCTAAG